ATATATTTTCCGAAGACTTCAAGTGTTCTTGGTGATTTTGTTGATACACGTGTTTGATCAATATTGTACACATATGCAATACATATAAATCATCTTTGATCTTGTTATATCAGAATTGTTTCAACACGATACATATTAGGTATATAATAACGTAGAGAAAGCTTATTTTTGTTACTTAACAATATTCACATGTAATAATGAATTATATTTCAATATTATCTTTGTGTTTTTTTAACGTAAGTTCTACTGGTAGTGGGTATATTCTCCTATTCTTAAAATAATGCAAAAAAGTATAAGCTACAATTTATTTGTGCTTCTTCCGGGATTCGTGTGTAAAACTCGACGATTTTATACTCACGAAAAAATAATTTTTCCACACATTTGAAATGTTTACATCACGGTTAAACGGCTCACGCGGCGTAATTTAAAAAAACTTTTACACAATAGTTAGAATGTATGTAAAATGTTACACATACATAACAACTATTTCACGTTTTTCACATTTTTGTGTGACAATATTCTCTTCCGTAATACACAGTAGAAAATTCAAAGAAGACTTTCGCGTTAATATTATCTAAGTAACGCTCGTGGCAAAAATTGAGATTCAACCTTTTCCATATGCTTAACATTCTAACATATGTATGTACACATACATATGTGACAGCGTCGTCAAATGTTGTGCCCGCTCGCAAAAGAATTTTACGAGATGTTTGAAGGGCAAAACGACTTTCTTTGATCTTGGATGATGATGCAATTAAAAAAAAGTCATGTGCAAATCGCTAACCCGTTTGAAGGGTCTTCAAAGGCGTTCGAAGCAGCAGCAAGCAGCGGGCAATATACGCTCGCGACAACCTTCGTTTGATCATAGAAACTACATACAGTTACTGGCAATGAAACACTCACTCTGAACCTTTCTTCGACGTGACCTGCTCTTTATTCCACGTCGAAGTTTTCGTAATTTTTATCGTAGTCACTCTTGCCATTTTTCTTGGCGTGTGAGAATTTAAAGTATACGGAAAAAAGAACGCTTTTCAGAACATCCAGCCAAGTTTACCTCTCTGAAAGGAATGTTCCATTCTTGCGTGTGGTTTTTTTCAGGTTAGAAATAGATTGAAAGAAAAATTCTTGGCGAAATTGATTATATGTGACCGCAAATTGTCTTGGAAGTTTTGCTAGAAAAGTGCCAAATGAAAAAGTGATTTTCAAATAAAAGTCACTTTTTTCAATTAAACTTTGGAATAATCGAAAAAACCAATTTTCTTAATTAATTATTTGTAAAGAAAGAACTTACGGGAGAAAGAAATATCTTTCGACTCTTAACTAGACTCTTTCTCTCTCTCTTGTTACATTATATACGTAATATTGTCTCAGAAGTGAAACAGAAATTTTATATTTTATATTTCTTGTACGTTTGTGCATACGCGTGTAAAGTTTCACGTCTCTGCTGCATCGGAATGTTTCTTCAACGTTTTTGCCGTGTCAAAGTGTGTTTCAAACAGTCCGATCCGGTGCTTATTGAAATCTTTATTAAAATCTTTTATCTGATCTGAAAGAAAGTTTGCTTCTCGCGGATAAGTAGCCCACTCTTCTCGAACTTGTTCAGGACTCCCGGAGGTATCTCACGACGATTCTTTCCTTTTCCTTCTCGTTTCTTTTTTCTTTCCATTTTCTTTTTCTAACGTTTTTTCTTGGTGTCTCCTTTTGCCCCGGCTAATTCTTTTACAGAATCGTATACATCCTTTAACAATTGTAAGTGTAAGTGTGTATCGGTGTATATACGTATATACGTAATCCATTTGTGCGCTGTGAATTCTTAAGCTGGAAATTTTACTGCAGAGTTTTTGCGGTCGCAAAGAGGAGTCGTTGCCATTTAACATTCCCTTGAGCAAAGGTTTCACTGCGAGATATAAAACTTGAATGTCTCGCTGAGACTTCGTTACGCTCCGCGCGCGCGCGCGCACGGTAGTAGATAATACGGTATCGTGTTTGATACTAATTCGGTTGCCGCAACCAGCCGTAACCAGCGTTTTGCTATATTCGTAATGCTCACAAAAGCGATAAAGCTATTTAAATACATTTATATATACATGTATATATTATTGTGCTTGCATAAACGCGAATTTCGGGGAAATGCGTTCACGCACTGAGAAATTGCGCGGATTAATGCTAGAACGAGAGAATGTTGCGTTTGATGTGATCTTCGGTTTAAGCGATAAAATATTTGAAACGAAATCTCTGAGTAGAGTATTTTGGCATTTTTACTTTTTCTTGTGCGTTTTTGATGTGTAACACGCTCTATTATTTACATAAGAAATAAAATTTAAATATATATATATATATATATATGTATATATATTAATATATTATATATGTATATATATTAACATGATATTTTTATTTTACAAATAAGTAGCATATCATACTGTAATGCAGTTTTTTTACCAAATTATTTTGTGATTTTAAAACATTTATTTCATACGAGCTGTAATTAACTAAATGTATACGTCAACGTTTCGATAAATTTTGATTTGTTTTGCACGATGTAAATATTATACAATCATGGGCTATTGTGCGACAATTTAATTATCGCTCGATTGGCGCTGTTAAGATAACGAACTTTGCTTAATAAAATTTGAAATTTATGAAAACGTTCACTGGCGTGGACAGTATTTTTTTTGTACTATCGGTTGATTGCCAATTGTCCGCCGATTGACTCAGTTGACAGCGCTTGTCCGAATGGCGCTTGTGCCACTTCCGCGTGGAGCATTATTAATCAAATTTTATAGAGTTAAAAAATTCAAGAGCTACTTCCGTGACGTTTGGGTGAAATATGCAAACTCCCGGGACCGTCACGCGTCCAAAATGCATAGAAATGTTGCATGTCGGTGCCCGCAATTTCTATCCTGTCGAGTAAATCTCGGCTTTATTTGCAGGTTTTTTTGTCTGACGGGAGTCTCGAATTCTTGTTTTGTTTTATTTTTTTCTCGCGGAAAACCTCATCCGATTTTTACGGACGCGCGGGTTACCGACGAAAAAAAAAAAATCGCCAGAAATACGACAGATAAAATGTTTGCGAAGAATGTGTCCCGCGTATTTCTCTCGCGTTACTACGTACGACGTTATCGCCTTGAATTTTCCATGAATTAGCTACAACAGGTAGTTTCGGAGAATTTCTCCTTCTTCGCGAACCGGCTTGAATGGGTTAGTTAAACGCGAAACTCAAGTGCTGTTTCCTTCATGCTTCTTAGATGAAGTATTAAATAAACGCTCGAGTAGGAAAAAGTTCTATTCGGCATTCGTGAGATTATTTTCGTGAGCTTCTACGCAAAAATCAAGAAAATACACGAGTATGTATTGTAATCATCACATTCAAGTTATCAAATAACATTAAAAAAAAAATTCTTTATTTTGTATAAGAACATTTATATATTTTTTTTAACATTACTAAAAAAAACACCAACCAGATTTCATGAATTTTGTTCTGTTTCAATCAAGCGGCTATTTCCGAAAATTTGTTATCGTGTCGGTTTATGATGATTATATACGTCACGGAATGTTTCAACGTACCTGTTATCGAATCGTAACAAAGACTAAAGTCAGGAATCGAAGAAACCGCAACCGCACGGAAGGTTTCGTTGGCCACAGTTTAGCGAGACAGACGTTCTTGCCGAACCCTATTGCCTTCCGGCAATATCGAGCGAAATCGTTTGGTCTTAAAACTTCCGCGACACGCGACTCTACTTCAGATGTCGTAAATATCACAGTCCATTTTACCTTTCGGACAATGAACGAATGTAAGTCTTCTCTCTCTCAATTAAACGTCTTTCTCAAAGTTAAAGGCTTCGCGCGCGCGCGCGCGCGTAATTGTATATTTTTACTCTCAACTCACATTGAAGTCTATAATAAACATACATAGAAACTTGAAAATTTTAATTATTACCAATATAATTAATTATATTTGGTGATATATCTACTTTAAAAATTGATGTTGTTAAGTTTTTTCCTAATTTTTAAAAATAAATGTGCTGTTGTGCAAATATTGCTCTCGTTTTATCAATAAAGTAAGATAATTATATCAATTTCACGGGCATTAAAATCAAGGATTTAGTAAGTACGGTATTTGCTCGATTCTCTCCGAGTAGAAAGAAGAAACGATAAGAAAAGAAAGATATCGAAAGAAATAAGCCTTTTGTGCTATTATCTAGTCTTTGTCTCATTGTTCGTTCGGTTATAGAAAGAAATAAGTATAGTGCTTATTAATTTCGAATTTATTTTATTTTAGAAGTTCTACGTATCGTGTTTTGTAATTTTTATGACAAAATGTAATATCTAGATACAATATCGACTTTTTTAATCACAATTTAATCGCAGAAACATAAATTTTACGTACAGAATTATATTGTTATTTCTGTGTTGTTTATGTTTTTTCAAGAAACCTCAGATCTCGGTTTATATACGTAAACATATAGAAATATATAGAGTTGAAAAATATTGACAAAATTAAAGCATGAAAATAGACTGGGTCAATCTGAAACGAAAAATAATTTACCGTTACGTGTGAAACTCAGCTGATTGCAAGAAGCTGTGTCACACGCCGTTTGCTTGTTCGCTCCGCCTTTCGATACTAGAACATTGATATAAGATAAGCCATGTTTCTTTACAATTCAAAATTAAACACACCTACAGAGTTCGCTTCTCACGCGCTCATTGATTTATATTAATTAATAAATATCTCAGTATCACCAATTTTGCAAAATGATTTATGATTTTTTGGTCAGATTGACTCAATCTTCATATTTCGGCTTTGTCAAAATTTTTCAGACACTGTACATACAAAACAAAAATATACAATAATACAATATATACAATATACATATATATGTATTACACATACACACACACACACACACGTTGCACCGGGGACATTTCAATTGTGCCAATATTGCCCGTCCGATTACGTAGTACAGACAGTAATACAATTAGAGGTTGTTTGTTTGCAGAGAGGGAGGTTTGGTATGAAGCGGCGACGCGAGAGATTGAAGCGCGGATCAGTGCGGCAGCGAGTACCAGCGTCGGTGGCACAACGCCGCCGCACGGGGTAGCTCGCAGTGTCGTTCTCTTCGTCGGCGATGGCATGGGGATGAGCACCCTGACGGCCGCGAGGATCCTATCGGGTCAGCGACGCGGGAATCCGGGCGAAGAGGCGCAGCTCGCGTGGGACAAGTTTCCAGCGGTCGCGTTGGCTCGGGTGAGTGTACACAATTTTTCTTCTTTTTGTTCGGAAACGGGCGTACATACGTAAAAACCAACGCTTTGCGAGCATCAAATCTATTTGCGGTGAGCTATCGGATAAGCAAATATTGCGTCAGTGCACGTAAACGTTTTTTTACATGTGGAGATTGAGAAGTCTTTAATCACGAAAAAATATAAGTTTTGTTTTTAAGTAAAATAAAGGAAAATGTTGAGACTTTTTTGTGTAGATATGTAAACTTGAAATAATTCCATGTGTAATAAACAAAACTAAGTGTAAGTAAGAGTAATACCTTACTCTTCTATGCGCGGCAAAAGAGTGACAAGTACAAAATACAGTGGTTTTAGAAATACAAAAAATTGCCGGCTTTCGGGTCAGTTATTTAAACGCGTAATAACATTTAATTTCAATGAATAAACTCTCTTATATGTACATTTATACTAAAATAATATTGAGAGAGTAAATGTGTAAATACTGTTCAATATTTTCGACTAAAAATTATTTAGCTTAAGTATTAAAAGATTTTGTATTTATATCATAACGGTGTGTTATTATCAACTTTGTCCGGATAATCAGTGTCTTTTCAAATATCCTTCTTTGTTGGGACAAATTCCTTGGCATTCTTAATGAATTCTTAAGCGCATTTGAATTTTTTCTTAGCTCGAAAATTGAAAAAAAAACGAGGGATATTCGGATATTATTTCTAAAAGTTTGTAATATTTCGTATATTTTGTGATAATTTTTCTAGTAAAAGTAAAGGTTATAAATATATTAAAGAATATTTTATTAATACATAATAAATGATAAAATATTTTTTATTATATTTAGAAACTTTATTTCAATAAAAAACTTTTATTATACATATATATATATATGTATATATATTATACATATATATGTATTTTATTTAATATTATATATATTTTAAAAGTGCACGTAAATATAGAAAAATATCTTAATTCGTAATATTCTTTAATTAAAGTCTATTGACGTTTTAACAGTGTTTTTTATTACATGCGGTTTTTGTAACCGAGAAGTAGTAAATAATGTCTGTGGTCACACCATATGATCTGCACAATCTACCAGGATTATAATATCACTAAAAGCGATCGTTGCAAACGCGTTCGTATTCCGATCATGACGTAGGTATAATCCCGAGAAATCGCTGATGCTCATTTTATAATAAGCGGCGTGTGTGCGCGCGCGAAGAAAAAATTCAATGTGCTGAATTCACTTCGTTAAGGCTGCAGGATATTTGCATGCAAATTTAATCGAAACGCGTGTACACACATTTCTGCGCGGATTACAGATTGCATATTCGTATTTTAATTAAGCTCACGGTCAAGCGCTCCCGCGCATTTGTCCTTTTTTTCGCCCTCGGATATCTTTTGCATTACGCGCGCGCACGCTACAGACAACAATATTAAATCCGTGTCGTACTTAGTTAGCGCTATTAACGTGAAATTCATGTTTTCTCGTTCCAAGGACTTCGCGTTCCCTTCGCTTGATTTTCTCATCCTCCGTATGTTACACCGCTGTGTTTCAACTCTCTTTCGAATTTCTCTTGATTTTCCCCTGAGAGCGAAGGCACGACGAAGCGACGAGAGAAACTTTTGCCGAAGACCCTTCGGGATTGAGAGAATCACCGCTGTGTTGCACGGAGATTTGCTTATTACCGGCAGCAGATTTTCGTTCTCGTAACAAAATTGAAGATTTACGGCGAGTTGTTTTTCATCATTCTGACTTGTTATACTTTGAACGAGCGTGGATTGTATTCCAGAAACAAATGAATACTCAGACGGTTTCTGTGTGAACGGGAAAGAATATCGCGCGGTATCATGTTTACCGAACGTATTTTATTATTCTAGGCACGTTTGTTCATTGCGGAAGTCACAATCTCGATCTCATAATTAAAATTAAGAAAAAAAGGTCGTTTATTTATGTAAAATCTTATTCATCGCAAATCTTACTTATTACCGCAACCTAAATTATGTAAAGAAAGATTTCATTTCCTCAGAGTGAGCAAAAATAGAGCTTCTAGATTCTAAAAATATATTTTTTCTTACATTTATATGTTAATTAAATATAAGCCGGTTTATTTTGTGCTATTTGCCACTTTTAATTGTGAAATCGAACATCATACGAGGATAATCAATGTCAACTTTTTCCAGTCAATAATCTTGGTAATAGTTACGCACAAGTAATTGTCTTAATTTACAAAAATTTATTACAATCTGTAAAAAACTAAAACAGGTTGTATTAAAAAAACTGTTTCTGTTAATTTCACATGATAATTTCGCAAAAACTGCATCGTGTCGAAGACAAAGGTGCGTTTTCTAGACTTGAACTTACATATACAGCGCAACAAGCGATTTGTGCTGTCGAAACTCATTTTCTGCAAGGGGATTCGAAACATCACGAATGCTATCGATATTTTCATACCGAATGTGTATGGTTATACATATATATATATATATACGCGTATTATCCTTCACACATTCGCTTTATTCCTTGTGCATCGTTCTGTTCGACGTCCACCATATCAAGTGATGTTTCCACCGTATACTTTTCGCTCGGAAATGCCGCGCGTTTGGAAGTCACGGAGAGCATCGGAACTTTTCAGCGAAATCCCTGAAGACTTCGCGCACCGAGTTCCGCATTGATTATCCGGGCCCTGCTTATTATCCGGTTGATATAATCTCTATATCCTCTCGAGTTGAACGATAGTTGTAGACTATCTCGACAGCTCTCGAGATCCTCGCAGAAATTTCGGCGAACGTATGTAAAGTAACGCGTATGCCATTCAAGTGACTTCAATTTGGGAACTTTCTTTTTTTGTTTCCTCGATATTGTCTCTTTTTCTTCTTCAATTGTTATCTGTCTTTTTTCTTTTATTTTGCAATCATTTTATTCAAACATTTTAGATAATCTTTTCTATTTTATTTTTATAGTAAACTAATTTTCCCTCACAAATATCGATATTATGTTTATCTCTCGTGACGTCAAAGACTAAATATTATCCCTGCAAATTGCGTACAATTTACGTGTTTGCCATCCCTAGACACGCAGAAGCTTTTTCTTTACCCTCGTAATTTTTCTTGTCTTTTGTCAAGAGGTATTATCGTTTCTTTTTTCCTTTCTCTCTTCCTCCCTCCCCATCCGGTTCCCTCTGATGCTTTTCTTTCTGGGTGACACACCTGGGAAGCGTTGTTGGTTGGAAACAAAGTTCCTCGAATAGTCCCCCGGGAAGTTCCTCGAGGACTAGACCGACGCGCCGTTGATAGAAGACTTGTTTATTTTCGCGTAGATGTAAGCCAGAGTGAAGCGTATACAGGTCGGTATAAACGAAAACAAAGTGCAAGGTGTATATGTAAATATGGGTTTTAGAAAGTCATACTTTAGTTGCCGTGAAGTTGGTTCAGCCCTTCAGACACGTTCCTCTATAATTTGAATAACACGCAGTAACAAGGTGAGATCCTAATAAATAACAAATCGGTTCGCTTTCATAATGTAAAAAAAAAAAAAATTAAAATTGATTTGTTAGTGACTTTTCAAAAAAATTAGATCAATTTTTAAAATATGCGTTTTTTAATATCTGTATTGTTCTTTCGAAGCGTGTTGTTTAAGTATTTTTTGAAAAACAATTTTCGAGAAATTTCGCTGCTTTTCTCCACTCATTGTTAAACGCGGATATATCGAGAGAAGCATTGAAATACGTCACAGTCATCCGTGTAACATTTGATTTTCTGAATAATCATCGCGCGCAATCGGTTGTTAACCTTAAGCGGGCATCAACCCGATCATTAAATTACATGACACCTGCACGATTGGGTATACACTTCGACGGTAACGCGTGCATCGCCGGACCAACGTAATGATTTATTGTCGAAACACCTAGCATGTGACATTTATCAGGATAATAATTAATTGCAGGTTACGCAGGCGCGCGGATGACTAATGGTTAAGCCGCCGCGGCGCATTAAACTGACATCGATCACTCGTATAGTTACTATCTTTGAAACTCTTGTAAAGTACAAATTGCGATCTTACCGCTTTGAAAATACACTCATAGTTAGGTTCTCTGCGAGGAAGTTACTTGAGAGATACTCGATTAATTTAAAGTTTGACTTTGTTTTATGAACGAGTTGTATACATGTGTGTGAGGTCACGGATCTTGTGGTATTTCATTTTAAAATACTTTTGTGATATCAGGATATTAAGTTATATATATATATATATATATATATATATACGGGATGTGTCTCAAAAATTTTGACAAAGTTGAAGTATAAAGATAAATTAGGTTACTTTAGATAGAAAAATTATTTTGCAAAAGTTTTTGAGTTATTAATTAATCAATGTGAGCGCGTGGAAAACGATGATCCGAATTCTGTAGGTAGATATGTGTTAGTTTTAGTTATAAAGAAAACTTAATCTCGTGTAATCTCTTAAGTACGAGAAGAGAAGCGGCATAACATGTGTTGTTGACAAGCTTCTTGCGATCAGCTGATTTTAACGGCAGTACAACTAAAAGCCATACACCTTTAGAGCCCGAATCATAGCTTTTCACGCGTTCATTAGTTTTTAATAATAACTCAGTAATATTAATTATTAATAATAACTCAATAAATATTGCAAAGTTTTCAACATGATAAGTGATTTTTTTAATCAGACTGACCCAATCTATAATATTTTTGACTTTATCGAAATTTTTTAGACTATGTAGTTTCTCTGATTTTTTATTAAAACTTTTTTCCATTTGTATAACAAACACATGATTTAAATATTATTACTTTAATTTATCAGATAAAATATATATATTTTAATTTGTTTTTAAAATAAAAACAAATAGCTTTTGTGTTGTTGTTAATCAACAATTTTATGTAAAAGAATGAGAAAAGAATCAGAAACGATAAATGTGTGCCAAAAATGAATAATAAATAATCATATTTACAATGTGATTTTTTTCTATTCAAATGGATAATAAATAATAATCA